TCTCTCTCTATCTATCTGTCTCTCTCTGTCTTTCAACCACTACAGCCAGCTGTTTCAACTCTGCTGCTGCTGCACACTGCCACCATCACAAAAAGGACAACATGTTCAAACACAACACAAAACAGATACCTATCATAATAAAACCATAATGCCAGCACAGACGCAATAATTCTCAGCCATTTGCACCAGTTGAGTGATCCAGCAAGCCAGGTTTATTATAATAGCAACATGCAAAAGATTACTTTAAAATGAAATATAACAGCAGACAGACATTATCAGGCAGCTTCAGATCTGAAGCTTAAAGTCTTCTCAGGATACTGTTGATGTGTGTGGGTGGTTGTGCCATATAAGCTTTTTAATGGGTCTACAGTTGGGTGTGCCAGCATATTGGACGGATAGGTTTGATTGATAGAGACAAGCTGAAGCCAAACTGCAGTGGTGCCGTTTTGTTTGCTGCTTGTGTTATTCATGGTGTTGTTGTTGATGAAGTTATCACAGCGGCGCTCTAATCCCAACCATCGCTGTACGACCGTTCCGTGGCTTACGGCACTAGGAAATTCATCAAGTCATCATAGATCAAGTCACACTGTCATGGATGGCATTGAAAAAGTAACAAGGGCAAGCTATCGAGTGGCTGGATACTGTGGCGGCAGCTGAAAAATGCATTTATTTTAGCCAACCTCCGCGACTCTGGGCTGGCTGGGCTGATGTACTCCACGGTTAGTCAGCACTCCCACCGCTTTGCCAGCTCAGCTTTTATTCTGTGCCCTGGAAATTGAGTTTTGCTGGCCCTGTAATGTACTCAAAACTACATCTGCAACTGACTGATAAATCTACGCTTTGTTGCGCCTGACGGATAGCTGTGAAAATGAAAATTCACCACGGCATGTTGCTGTGTTAGGAGGAAGGTCACTTTAGATTTTCCCCTACTCACTGAGGAATCTCTGCTCAGGGTTAAGCCAAAATGACCATTTTGTCTCAGATTGGAGTTGCGAAGCTTTAATATTTTCTTAGGCTTGTTCGGTTCAATGAGATGACAGGTTTCTGGATTGTTTTGTTCCACTACTGCCTGACTACGCTGTGAGGGCAGACTGAAAAAAACACGGCTCTTCTTCCGATGTGTCAACAATATCTATTATTTGCTGAGGGAGAATGGCTTTATATCTACAGAGCGGTAATTTTGTAGGTGTGCGTGGTTACATACATAAGGGTGCTGTTCCATTGACTTGATAAACACCCCAAGATGACAGATCTTTATTGCAGAGCAGCAGTCTGGGTCTGACACCCCAAAGACCAATTTCAGACGGTTAACAAGGCCTGGACCAGGAATACCTCACAGCAAAATGTCACAAGGCCTCCGCATTCACACCTCCTCACTCTCCCTCTCTCCTGCTCCCTCTTCTGTTCCGCCCTCAGCTCTCCCGTGGACATTCAATGAATTGTAGTTCCTCTCTTTCAATTTGCCGACCATGTTACCTCGTTCCACAATGTGCTGCCCCGGGGGGATTGTGGGTAGGCAGGAGCAGCGGCCCCGGCCAGGTCCGCAGAGGGCTGATAACCTTTCAGTGTTGCTTTAGCACGCTGTGTAAAGAACAATCAGTGCTTATCAGCATCGACTACAGGCGAATGCTAATTCAATGTCATGCAGACAGACTGCAGAGGGAGAATGAGAGGCTGGCTTTCACTCTGACAGCCTGATGTCTCCAGCAGGCAAATAACTTTAAAAACTGAAGCTTGTTGGCTTTTTTATTGCCTTTCTAATCTGTAATCCACTCCCTCTAATCTATGTATTGAAATATCACTAATTCCTGCTATGCACCTACAGTATCTCTGTCCAAAGTCAAAACAAAAGTAATTTCTCACTTCTCAAATCGCATTATCCATGTCCTGACACCAGTTTATTTTGCCCAATCCATCCTTGAGGGTACAGGTGATGGGTTTTTCCCCCCTTGACACTTGTCGTGGTCTGCGCAGGTTCATGTCGATTTCTGAAATGGAAATATTTTTAAAAATCAGCATCGGGAGATGTGGGAGGACATCTGGG